CCAGATTTGGAATTAAGGGTTTAATCGATAGACCAGGTTGTAGGAAACTCCCCCGCACAAGCGGCTGGTCCTTAACTTGCCTAGGGGAAGAGCTATAGACTTAGGAAAAGTCACTTTTTTGGCCTTTTTTCAAATCTTTCCGATTTCCTCAGAAACTACCCGTCCAGATTAGGGATTAAGGGTTTAATTGATGGACCAGGTTGTAGGAAACCCCCCTACACAAACGGCTCGTCCCTAATTTGTCTAGGGGAAGAGCTATACACTTAGGAATAGTCAATTTTTCGGTTTTTAGGCCATTTTTTCAAACTTTTTCGATTTCTTCAAAAACTACCCATCCAGATTTGGGATTAAGGGTTTAATCGATAGACCAGGTTGTAGGAAACTCCCCTGCCCAAGCGGCTGGTCCTTAATTTGTCTCGTGGAAGAGCTGTACACTTAGGAAAAGTTTTTTTAAAAGTTTTTTGGCATTGGAACAAAGATTCAATATAGTTATTGTGTGTATTTTTTAGACAATGGAATCCGCTATGCTTACGTTTTCTCGCTTTTGCTTGGTGCTATTGGCTTTGTTTTGAGTTTTTTTGTATTTCATCAAAAATTTGTATAACGTTTTTTCCAGGGTTGGCATGTTATTTAACATTGTTATTTAACATTGAATTTAACTTACAGTGTTATTTACAATTTCTAACAGTGATGTTAGCTATTTCTTAGAAATATGAGTAATTCTTAGAAAAACACAACGCAACTATACTGCATGCTTGTTCCGAAACGATTGTAGCGAATCTCGAACGGATGAAAAAAAAATTTCAAACCAATTGCAGTTTCACTTGACAAACTACAGAGCGAAAAATCTCACCTGACGTATGGGAAGCTTCGTGCTCAACTCGGCGTTGAGAAAGCCGGAAAGTTGGCGTTTCTGTGCAACAAACTCAACTCTTGTTGATATGTTAATTTAATTAACAATTTAACAAAAATAACATGTTTTTTTCGATAAATAACAGTTAGTTTGTTATTTTTGTTTTTAACTTACATTTTGCCAACCCTGGTTTTTTCTGAAGTAACCAAACAGGTCTCTCCAGCTTCCAGCTGGGCCCCAATTGTCTAGAGAAACACCTATGGACTTGAAAAGTTCCCTCATGAAAACTTTTTACCAAAGCGTTACCAATGAATGCATAAGCTTCTCTTTCACTTTTTTTGCGTAGGAAGGGCTCTATCGACTTGAGAAACCTGAAATTTTAAAACAATTTTAAAATAATCAATATTAAAATAATCAAACAGGTCTCTCCAGCTTTCAGCTGGGCCCCTAGTCTTTTAAGCGAATAAGCCAGAAATTTCTAAAAATTTCATTCGAGTTTAATTCTACAGGAGTTTCAACTGACATAAGAGCCATTTATCTAGGACAAGGTTAAATATGTAGACAGATATTTTGTCTAGGATTGAATAAATGGCTTGTTCAACCTATCTTGAAATCAGAGTCTGAAAACTTTTTCGAAAATTCTCCTCATATTTGCTCAGTTTTCTCTTGATATTATACGAACCACGGATTTTAATATCCAGATTTTTCAGTAGAGTTAAAGTTACTGATTGATCTATTGTTTTTTACTGATTTTTTTAATCGGTGAAAGACTTATCATTTCAGATTCTCCAAATTCAAACAGCCTTGAGCTGATATCTTGGGAAATTAGTTGTCGTAAATTTAAAATTGGTTTTCTGATTTCATTAACGCATTTCCAAGTTTATATTAGCTTTTTTGGGACCTGCATTATTTGAACAGCAGTTTTGAAAATGATTTGGTTCGAGCCAGTTTGACCCAGTTTTTTCAAACTAACTTTGAGAGTGCGAAGTTTGAACCAACTATGTTCTTTTTCTGACGATTTAAGCAATCAAAACAACTCTAAATATTTCGAAGTTTCATAGCCTGGATGAATAGCTTGCTTGAAATATAATAACTTGCGAGCCGACCCAGGCTATCAATACAGCCTATCAAAAAATTCTAGCATTTTTCGCTCGACATGCTTGATTGAAAAAGTTTTTCATCTTTTCGCGCAACAATTTCCTGCAATCGAAATTAAAGTGACTTATATACAGTTATTTCATTTGCTAAGCTTGCTTCGAAATTTTCAAATATATCATCTTTTTTTCAGAGGTATCATTTTTTCTGTTCCTACACAATCTCAGCATAAGTTTCTAGTTGCTCACTGTTGATTCCCATGAAAATTTTGCTCGCCAAATTTACTGATGTGAGCTAGCTGAAAGCATGCATTCGAAGTTTCACCACTTGAATCGCTTGCTATATTTGAAGCTATCGAAACCAAAAGTAGTTGTTTAATTACTCTCATCTTTTGAATAAATTGCTTCTATTTTTTTTGCAATTGCTTCTAGAAACAATTCTCCAACTGAAAAGTTTTATTGAAAAACTTTGCTAACTCATTCAAGCCCTCAAATAATGTTTCACCATTTGAATAGTTAGCTTGAAAAATTTTATTTTTTACTTTATTTACTTATTGCAAAGATATCAAAATATTATTCAATATCTCATCCTTTGAGTAACTTAATGGAAGATTTTATTGCCAGTGATCAGATTCTAGTTATGAACATCAACTTGAATTGTTTCACTTTTGCATCATTTGCAATGTAGTCTAAAAACATACCAGTGGTCTGAAGTTGCTAGCGAATTGAACCAGGCAGATACAATTTTCCACCTGAAAAGCCTGCTTAAAAACTTCGCTAGCTCAATCAAGCCCTCAAACAGTGTTTACCATGTAAATAGTTTGCTTGAATTTTTTTTTAAACTTTTTTTACTGGTTGCAAAGATATCAAAACATTCTTGAATATCTCATCCTTTGAATAACTTAACGAAAAACTTTATTGCCAGCGATCCGATTCTAGTTTTGAATATTAACTCGAATTGTTTCACTTCTGCATCATTTGCAATGTAGTCTAAAAGATATGCTAGTTGTCTGAAGCTGCTATGTGGTTGCAGATCAGGATGAACATGCGATGGTATGCTCACCCAAAAATTAAAAACTCACATCAGAAATCACACAATTTTATAGGCGAATAGATACCGAAAGAATATGCCGATTTAAAATTGGCTTGAATAAAAAGAAGGAATCTGATGAAGAAACTTTTTTAGGTAGTTTTTTTACGCTCAAATTTGATTTTTTTTTGCGTTTCGACTTTTGATGTCTTTTTAGTCAGTTGGTTTGTAGGCAAACTCCACTATTGATTAGCAAAATGTAGTGTGAATCGTTTCTATTTTCAAAATTGGACATTAATTTTCTGAATTTCGAGAGGAATTTATACTTAACTTATTAATCAACTTTCCTCTTAATGGGATAATTTTAAGAAAAATTAGCCAATGATGAATCTTATTTGGAATTCAACATGATATATTTTCGAAATTAGGAAGTAATCAAATTTTTTCGGTTTCCTTGTTCTTTTAGGCTTTTCAATTGTCTGTTGGCTATAATTTTTAGTTCATTTAAAGATCATTTGCTATAGGAAAGACAAATTAAGCAATCCATTTAAATGTGAAAATAACGCAAAAAATACGATTTTTTTTAGTTCGGAAGTGGGTTGTTAAGTTTCCAGTGGATTGAAAAATGCCTATTGATCCTTTCTTCTCTAATTAGGATAGCTTAATTAAAAAAGTTTTCATCATAAATTACTTGAATGAGTTTTAGAGGACTTCAGATGGATATTATAATGTTTCGAATTCTGAAAGTTTCAAAAAGTCAATTAATTTTTTCTGTTTTGCTTGAGATCATTGACTATATCCAACTGTTTCTTGGTTGTTTTTTGTTTTTTTTTAAAAAAAACTTAGGATTTCCAAGAGTTATTACATCTAAAAATAACATTTTCTTGGTTTTATCTAGCTGAAAAGTATCATTTTTAGCTTAATTTTATAAGCAATTCGAGTTCGAGTCGCTGATTCAGCACACGAGGTGTAGATGTTATGTCCATGCTAGTTACAAAAGGACCTTTAGTTTTCTGCAAACTGAAAGTTTCCTGCTTTTAGAGTTTAGATCTGACACTATATTGTCTCCGCTTTGCTTATTTTTGTCGACATATTTACCACAGCACTGACTTATTTCTAAAAGCGACAAATTATGCGACTTATTTCGAAAAAAGGCAAGATAATCTGAGAACTATGTTTGTTATCAGTATTTTAAAACAAAATTATGTTAAGTTAATTTTTCTTTCAGAATCAATTAATACTGTAGATAAATAGATATCATACAGTTTCAATGAGATGCGATGTTCTGTCTTATGCTGGTTTTTTAATATTTAATTGATTCGATATCTACTTTCTTTTTTGTTTGCTTAAGTTTTGTTTTTTGTTCCGACCATATGAAAAATGGGGAGAAACTTAGTATTCGAGTATTTTAGTTTTTTTACCTATTTATACTAGAATAAGGAAAGTGCCAGAATAACGTTTAATTTATAATAAGAAACTAATCTGGAGGTTGTCATGTTTTCAAAAATTGTCTAATACAGTCTGAAAACCGAAAAAATTCAGCCCATCTTTTTTCGACTCAGACAGCTTTTTCGAGTGTTTTTTTTTCTGGAATCCAAATTATGACTGAAGGGGTTTTAATATAAAGCATATAAAGCCACACTTGACCCTCGTTCTAGATTTTCTTGAGGTTGTCAAAATCGGGAAGGAAAAACAACCTAGGCGTGGTCAGAGCAATAAAAGCCCGATGGCGTCAAGTGAGATATCATCTCAAAGCGGTGTTGATTCATCAACAGCAAAAAAAAATTACTTCGAAGTTAAACAGTTCTGAAGTTTAATCGTTCCTGAATTTGTGAAGGAAGTTGCAGTGTATATCCGTAGTGATCGGTGGATGCTGGCTTGGTTTTTTAAATGTTACAGTTGTGCCGTGTGCTTAAAATCCGAGTGTGATATAAGAAGCTCTAAACTTTTCGAATTAATTATTGTAAATAAAGCACGAGTTTTTGATACTTAAGTTCTTCAGTTTCAGCAAAAAGTTTTGCTTAATATGTATATATTTTTAAATTTTATATTGTAGTTTTGTGACAGTGTCATTTATTGTAGAATTTTTGTTTCGGGCATGAATTTAGAAGTAAAGTTGAATGAATTGTACTATCTAAGGTATTCGAGTTATTTTTCTATAAAGTTCATTTATCGACTTGAGACAACCTGGTTAATGGATTGCAGGAAATTTCCACTTCCGTCGTTAGGTTTACATAAAGCGAAGAACTCAGTTGACATTATAAATGATATCAAAACTGGTTGCGTTACTTTGACCGTGAGAGCTTCAACTGAAATATGAAAATAATCACACCTGAAGGTTTGCCACTTTGTTTCTATTTACATTCAAGTTTGGTAAAGAACTGGGAACGCCTGCAAGGCATATAGTTGCATAAATTGGTCTTTTTAAAAACTTTACTGTATTCATGTTTTTCTTGAACCGTCTGGATCTAAGCAACTTATGCTATCAGTGTATTCCGAGTGATCCGGAAAAGTGAGGATATTTAAATTTGTAAGTTGGCATTTTTACCCGCAGTTTTTTGATGGGGGATAAAATTCTGCTCCGAACTTATAAGCGGTCTTAAAAATGTTAACGACTTCTTGAAAAAAATGACTCTGTAACATAGTACCAAAAAATCCGTGAAGAGGTTGAATTTTTAAGCGGGGGTTTTTCTATTAAATTGAGCTATGCGTTGTTGCAATGATGCCTTTGCCGCCGTATACTTTGCTGTAAGTCTGAATTGACAATTTTATGAAAGGCTGGCTCTTGCTTTCACCTGAAAGGAAGAAGGAATTATCACGGTTTGTCTAATAAGTATCCATATCTCTAAACTCTCCTTTGTAATTTATCCCCTTAGATGAAATAGAGCGACCTGTTTTTTTTTCACTGTGATAAGAAATAGCTGTGCATTTCTGATTTAAAGTTTTTTTGCCCTTATAGTAGTTCAAATTCAATGGTAAGTTATTCGTTATACTTCCAAATACAATTTTGATATAATGTATATTGTTCGGTTATATTTATTCCCATGACCTAATTAACCGCCTGCCTTTCAGAATGGAATAATGTGACCTGTAACTCTATTTGGACGTGAATGGAAAATGAACCAAACGACAGTAATTTCCTTCGAAATATTTTCTTTTAATTACGCGGAGTTGAAGATCGAGGAAAATACAATTTCGTGGTTAACTATCGAAGCGGATAAAATGCTTAAAATCACTGGTGGTTTTCAAAATTAGAATAGAATTTAGTTTACACCAAAACTGGTCATCTGTTTATATACTGTTTATACTTGACAATCGCACCAAAACAAGGTAACCTCGTTTTCTTACCTTTCAGGTGCACATTTAGTACTATAGTCTTAGTTAGTATTTTTGTGCCAATTAATTACAAATGGAACAAACTCAGTGGTTCTTCTTGATTTGAACGCCACGGAGAACTAACTATGTGACAGACGACAGGTATAGTTGAGATTTATTATACTCTTGGGTTTGTATTTCCAGTGCATTTTGTCAATATTTGCAACCACTGAAAGTGTTGCGGTTGTCTTCATTCAAATTTCAACTACGGTCTCAGCGAAAATGAAGAGCAAGTCGGGATCAAAGCAAATATCCCAGAATCCACAATCTGGCCGCAAAGGGAAAAACAAAAATGGCGCCAAGTCGAAACAAAATAACGCTAACGATAAAAACAAAGCAAGCGGCGCTACCGTTCCGACCGATGATTTCTCGTGGGAGGCTGCAGGGAGCAATGGGCTAGTTACAAATGCAGTGCCAAAATCAGTAATTTGCGAGAATAAAGAGGGATCGATAGATAATAGCAGATCAGTATCGAACCAGATGTACCAGCAAATGAACAGTTATCCGCCATACTATACTCCGGCAAATGTAAGTGTTTTCCAGCTTCATCCGTTATATTTGTTCATACCGAATAATTTTTTTATAAATCCTCATTTTTTCAAAAAGTGGTTCTGAGGAAGTCATTTTAAAAATGGCGCTAAACTCGTTGAGCAAAAGTGAATTGGTACAAAAAATTGTGCTTGATATTTAGTTTGGATCTTAGTATTTGGATTTTAGTTTGGTATTGATCCGGTTTTCTCAAGTTGTACTAGCTGGAACAAATGAATGCCAATTAAAGAAGTTTCCTGAAATTTAATCCGCGCTTTAATGATCATATATTCTACTAAATTCGACATGACCCGTCTTTTCTTTTTTAATTGCACCTATTTTCGTGATTCCTGTGACGTATTTAGATGATGAACTACCATCAGTTTGGACCTATCAACCAACTTAGTAGAAGATCATCTGAAGAAAAACTGAACAAAAAGGGATCCAAATTTTTGGGCAGCCTGCCCAACATAGTTGCTCAAATGCGAAGATTTTCCTTGGGAAAGGGCTCGGATAAAGATCTATCTTCAAACAAACAAAAGCGAAATTCAATCAGTCATAGTAGCAGTAATGACCAGTTTAACCAGTTGCTAAGCAACAAACTCATGAGTCAGACCAGCCACAGTTATTCGAGTAACGACGTTTCTCAAAATCGGTCGGCGTTTAAACCGATTAGTAACATCAACCCTGCGCAAGAACAAAACATGAACAGATCTGAGAATTATTTTCGCCCAATTGTTAGCGCCGAACAAGCAAGAGAGGTTTATTACGAGGGGCAAGCAGTGCCGATAAGGTCGCGGGCGGGCCCAAATTTAGTATATCGAGATGCGTCTAAACGCTATTCGTGGGCTGTCGGAGATCGAAATATCGAGGCTTTGAGATACGAAAGCGACCAATTTCGAAGGAGCTTCTTAGCGCACAGTCCAATTAAGGAAGATTCAGAATTTGAACAACAAGTTGTTAATGTTAATAGCACCAAAAACTTCCAAGATGTGGATAGTAACGGGGTAAAACCGGGTAATAGTTACGCAATAAATAATATAGTTCAGTACAATACACAATACGTTAGCAATGCTCATTATCCAGTGTCTAATACAGCAACTAATAACCCATTTTACGAGGGACCAATAGTTCCTCCTCGAAGCACGAAAGCTGAAAATTGTGATCGGCATAGACAGCAAAATGATCTGAATTGGTTTTCTAGTCAAGAGCAGCACCGCAGAAATTCAGTTCAAATTATTCAAGGTCACACAGAACATGACATTGAGGTGAAATCTCATGATGAGCTAGAATACGATGACCTTGACACAGACTGTAATGAGTTATATGCCATGGTTTCAACAATGGAAAATGGAGTTTCTCCTATATTAGAACAGGGTGCAGGTCAAATAGTGTCTGGCTTGAAAAGTGACAGCTGGTCCTCGAATCAGTCGGTTCCGGATCCGAAAGCAACACCATCTCGAGGACTTGCAAATGTCGGCGGAATTGATCCTAGGAGTAATAGAGGTTGGAACAACACTTATTTTAAGAGCGAACAAGGTAATGGAGATGTTAAACATGGACAGGTCCCTTCAATTGTTACTGTGAATGGCGAAGATAGATTTACACGGGAGGTCAACAGAGGTCAAGGTGATGGACGAGATGAGTGGAGCGAGGAGAGAGCAGTTCTAGTTAAACTGTAAGTTTTTGCGTGAGCTTTTCGGAATATTTTTTTTGATGGAGGATTATTTGCATTTTTTGAGCTATTTAAAACCCGAGATTTTCATAATGCCTCACATGCAACAAACATTGATATTTTGATCATTTCATTCAAGATCACACTGAGAAGGACACTGTTCATAAATTTGAAATATATAATTCACGGTAAATAAGTATGCTGGAAGCTTTTTTGAAGGATTGTTGCTTAATTTATTATTTTTGATCTTCCTAATATTCTTCTTTGTATTCCAGATATGAACAAAAAATAGCTATAGCGGACCAAAAGTATCGTGAAATGGAATCACAATTCTCACATGTATACAGACAGAATCAAGCGAACGTGTCTTCGCATCAAGCAGTCTCGGAAGAACTGTCAAGACGCGAGACGGAGCTGAAGGCTGCTCAAAACACGATCCGGAACCTGTCGAATATTCTTGGAAGTAAGGACTCCCAGATGCAGGGCATGAGGGATCAGATATCGTATCTGAACCGGGAGTTGAACCAGAAGTGTTCGATGGTGGCCCAGTTGCAGCAGAAAGTGCAACAACTGCAGGGTTCGGCTGATTTCTACAAGGGACAGATCACACAGTTGCAGGTAAAGAAAATAAAGCAATGGTGTATTTTTAAGTAAACAAAGTAATTGTTAATTTAATTTCACGAGTATAGTGGAATCCTGAAATGACAAGATGAGAAATGACTCAGTAAAAAAGAAAATTGACTTAGTCTTCAAAATGGTGTCGAATGATATATCATATCAACGACTTTTCACACCTGAGTCGATCGACATTTAAAGTTTCTAAGTCGATCGACGGTTAAAGTTTTTGCAGAGTCGAGAAAAACCTCTTTGAAAATTGCTGTTTAGTCTAATTTTGAGCTTTTTTTCCTCTGACTTTGGCTTTTTTAGGTGTTATAAATTTTTCCTATTCATGCGGTGGAACTTTGTGTTTTTTGTCTTTTTTCGATTGTTTTCAAATTTTTTTCCCCAGTTTTGAAAAACATTGGTCTGAATTTTGTCATTTTTTAGACTACATTACATAAAATTTCAAAGTATACGATCAGGGTCATTTTTTAGGAATAAAGCTTAGAAAATGTTAAGGAAAAAAGCTTATAGTTTTCAGTCTCAATTTTGTTTTTTTTTCGCCTTTTAATTTTTGACGTGCTTTAAACTCAATTTAGTTAATTTGCTTAATGGAAGACATATTAAGCTCTCCAAACACGAAACTGCAAAGGGCGTCAAAAATGTGATCACTTATTTTTAAAAGAAGTTTTTAATATAATAGACTTCCCGATGAAATGAAAAAAGACCTATTGACCTAGTTTTTTTCTAATTTGAATTATTTGACCTCAATAATTTAACCCAAAAAGTGTCACTCACAGAAGATTCTTAAAATTCAAGGAGCTTCAATTTGATATCCTTATTAGTTCAAGTTTCAATTTTTTTACTTGCGCAGCAAAGTGTTTTAGTACGAACTTTCTTCGTATATTGGTGCAACTTTTGGGGCACCTTTACAGCGTTTTGATAGAATGTGCTTTTATATTTGAATAGTAATAAGTTAACACAGTTGGTGCATTTTAAATTCATCAAATGAACCGAAAAAAAGCTATTTGTTTCAAACAACATAATTATAATTAAAACTCAGTTTCAGAAATTTTCTTACTCAATATATCTCGCAATTTTTTGAAATGCATAATTTATACATAATGTGGTTTTACGCTTTCCGATTTGTTACATGCAATTTCAGTGTGGATGCCTTCAGTTCGCTATATTCCAAATTATTACTTGAAAAGTTGTGTCTTTTGTATTTGGTGCTATTTTTGTTGCATTGTATTGGCAATTTATTAGCAGCTTTGTTATTGGTGGCTAGTTTTTGAGAATTTTAAGCATCCGTGGCTGAGTGGTCAGTCTGTTAGACTCAAATTTGCTAGGTCTCATATTCGAATCCGACACGTAGCCGAGTTTTTGCTAATTCGAGGCTTATTTTTACTTTTTCTGTTTTCACTTGATAGAGTTGCTTTTTGGTCGTGTTCTCGCAAGTGTTTGCGAAGCGCAGCTTCAGATCTGTGTTGAATTGTCCGAAAAGGTTTTTATTATCGAATTCATGGGCACTTCTCCAACTCTATTGGCTACGTTTGATAATTTTATCTGAATACTATGTTTTGAAAAATAATCGAACTTTTCTTTTCTTTTGCTAGATGAACTGATCTCTACTGACTACTTCACCTGGGTTGAGTTTGTCAGATGCGCTTTTATGAATCAAATTTTTGAGAGTATGGGTCTGTTTTCATTTTAGAAATTCTTAGATTTAGAATCTATGAATAATGGCAAGGGCTTATGACGCATTTTTCAAGACCTGTTCACATTTTAGAACTGTTTACATTTTAGAACCTATGAAAATTAGCAAGTGCCTAAGGCACAAATTATCGAGACAACATCTGAAGGTCGTAAGCTCGAATCCCATGGGCGACATTTTTACTTTTTCAAAGCTTATTCACTTATTTTGATTTTTAATGATGATCCTTTTCACTCTTTTTTGCTTCCGTATGTGGAGTGCAGCTTGGCGTAGAATTTTTGACATGAATCTGTTTTTAGGAAGGAGCGACCGCAAGTGAGAGTGAGAAGTTGAAGCTAACTGATGAGTTGAGACAGTCACGAGGATTCATACAAAGTCTGCAAGTACAGCTGCAACAAACTCAACAACTGCTGCACCACAAGTCAACAATTAATGTTACACCTCAAACGAGGAGGTAAATTAAATCAGTCTAATCGATATTTCGTGTTTTGTAGTTAGTAGTTCGGATTTTTGAGAAAATTGTATCAAGAATGTATAACTATTGTCAGACGAGGCATATAAATTTGCTGGCAGAACCAAAAATTTTTTCACGATTCAAACTGCAGATTCCGTGAAGCATTTAGTAATAGAATTGGGGTTTAGAATTGAAGCTTTCTTTAAGAGTCATGAACGTAGTGAATTCTCTTATATATGTCTATGTGGTTTTTTACAAAAATTTTTTCAAGAAAAAGTATTCACGCTCAAGTATTGTTTTTTCGCGGTTTGAATTTTGATTTCTTTTAAAATTGTTAATTTCTTTTGTTTTGAAGGCAAGCTCCACTATTGAAAAGCGAAAGTGTAAAAGTCAGAAAAAACGTTTTGAAAGAGGATTTTAGTTTTCAGGTTTCCAAGCGGAATAAAAAAATATACATATTGATCCAGTTTTCTCAAAATTTGTTGTAATTTTATCAAAAAAATGTTTCAATTCTAAAATTTTTGGGAAATAAGAACTAAAGGTCATAAATTTTTCTTTGAATTTTGAAATTTGCCGTTTTTTAATAAAATTAAAGCAGTTTGTTCCTGTTGCCTTGCGTTCATTGACTCTTCCAACTTTCTATTGGCTATGTTGTATAATTTTTTTTAGTCTTGTGACAACTGACTTTTTAGTGAAAATTGGGAGAAGGAAATCCAACCCCACAGAAAGTGCAATATAGCGCAGTGCGACCACTGCAACAGTCACGCAGAACAACGAGAAAGCACGAGCGATCACGCGTCACAATTACCCACTCACAAAGTTATGTCATCGCGACAACATGCGACATCCCAGGGAGTGAACAAAAACAACAATAATTGTGATTTACATGTTAAAAACGTCATCCAAAATGGAGAAAACAGCAGCGCCATAGCCCCGCATCGAAGGGCAGTGACTGGAAAAAGTAATAACCACGAAGTTAACAATAATAATAACTACAGTGGAGGTAGTACGAATAATGGCGCGGTTCAAAACCTGTCTGATAAAATTGTGCAACTGGAAAAAAATTTGGCAAAATTGGAACAAGATCGACAACACCAGGCTAATGTGTACGAACGAGAAAGAGTGTGTTGGTTAGAAGAAAAGGAAATTGTGCTCAGATACCAGAAACAGTTGCAGGCCAACTATACACATGTTGACAATGTGAATAAACTTCTACAGAAACAGATAGAAAAACAGAGTACAAATCATTTTTGAGTCAATTTGTGAGTTGATGTTCTTCCAGTGCGTGAAAAACAAGGACAATTTTTTGTCCAGAATTCGAAGTTTTCGTTTTTGGTTGCCAAAAATTCTGGAGTTGGTGGGCGTTTCCGGAAAGGCTGCAGCGTTGTTTTAAGAAGATTTATGTATGTAAAATTTGATTGTACCAATAATAGATATTTAAATGTTAGCGTTGTTATTTTTTCATAAAGAAACTTACTTTCATAAATTACTGTGTGCAGTAACGTTAAACGTTCGCGAGTCGTGTTAGCTAAAATCGATAAATTTGAATTGTTAATTTAACAATTTTCTTATATATTTTTTTGAAAAGTGAAGGAAATCAAACTACATGCAGCTATAGCAGGATCCTCGGTTCGATTTCTGATAAGTTTTGATATTCATTTCAGCTACACGTGATATGGTGATATTCTGCTGATTTAGGTAATCCGGATAAAATTAAGGAAATAAGAAGCGTTAAAGTTTTTCTCAATTTGGATTGGTATCAGTCAATAAGCGATGTGTGAAAATTTGCAGCATTTTCCCAAAATTAATAAATCGCAATTTTTTGCGAAATTTGAGCCCAATATTTTAAAGGGTAATATTCAGCTCCTTTTGTGAATCAAAAACTTCTCTCAAACTAGTTCCAATAGTTTGCAAAATATTTCAAAATGTTTTTCAGACTAAATTACACGAAGTGTACGAATGACACCACGTCATTCGCAATCTAATTGTTCTGGATTCGCAATCTAATTGCTCTGCATTTTTTTAAGTTAAGATAGAGATAGAATTCGCAATCTAATTGTTCTGCAATTTTTTTTCTAGTTAAGAGTCGATGAACGGATTGAAGACAGTTATGTAGGTTTTGGTGATATTTCTTGTTTTTTTTTTCAGGAAAAAGTTTTGTAATTGTTCTAATAATTACATAAGTTCATTCATGAATTTTAATGCATTTATGAATGCACTTAGGCATATGCGCTATTTTTGAGCTCAATGATAGTTATTTTGCTAAAATCTAGACCGTACACGCTCTTCAAATACAAAAGCGGAAATGGCGCGAAAAAAAACCTGAAAAACTTCTGGTTTCGAAAATGAATTTTGATTTTGAGATTTTGCAGCCACAAAAACTAAGCAATTGATCCAGATTTCTCAAATTGATTTAAGTTTGATCAGAAACGTGTCAATCATTAATTTTTGTTGAAATTCAAAGAGCTTTTAAGCCATATATTATTTCTTTGAAGATATATATATAATTTATTCGCCCTTTACTGAAACACAAAACAGAAATGTAAGCAAAATTTCCTTTTTTTACACTTGCGTCAGCTTAGTGTATTGTTAAGAGCAATATCTAACTCGCTAATAAAAGCGTTCTTTGAAAGTGTTCACTTATTTGGAAATTTCGCTGTAGAATTGGAAATTGCATAGCATCTGTTCTCTGCTTTATTTGTGACTAGTGCTTGGCTATTGCCTATTAAGCCTCCGTGGTTAGAGTGTGAGTCTCTTAATCTCTAGGTCGCAGGTTCGAATCTCAGACAGACGAATTTTTTGTTAATTCGAGACTTATGTGTACTTTTTCTTCCTGCACTTGATAGAGCTGCTTTTTTGTCGTGTTCTCGCTAGTGTTTGCGAAGCCAAGTTTCGCCTCTGTGTTGATAAAGTCAAAACAACTAAAAAAAATTATCTCCCTCAGCTCATTAACTTTGTTTCAAATGCATCGATCGCCTCTGTACGTTTTTGTAGTTGGATCATTCTGTGCTACTCGCATAGAAATCATCTATTTTTTTTTCTTTTTGGCTTTTAAAAGTTCAGTTAAATCGCCGAAAAATTGCAAATAGCCAAAAATGGACCTTGGCTTATGGTGGACATGAGGTCTTAATGTTAACTATTGATCGAGTTTAATCTTAAATTTGGTTTTATCAATAATTATCAATCATTAAATATTCTTGAAATTGAGCATTCTAAGTTGATCTTAATTTTCTAAGTTGATCTTAAGTTGAGCTCTAAGTTGATCTTAATTTTTTATGAAACTCGTGATCAGTTTTTTTATTTCCTGTAGCTAGTTAACTTTTCTTCAACTGTCTATTGGCTATCTTCGTTCTGACCACTGAAAGTAGAAGGGAACTTTGGATTTGGGTTTTTTCTTTCAACAAAATCAGGTATTAAGTAATTATAATTTCAAAGAAAAGTTTGAAGAACATTTTTCGTCTTGAAAGTTTGGTTCTTCAATTGGCTCACAAGTATCATTGTTATACACCCAGAAACTGCTAAGATTAATCAATGCAATTACTCGTTGCTCTAAATATGATACAATTTGTAAATAGCATTCGAGGACGAGTACTAAACCCTAAAAGTTTTGCGTGTTTCATTTTTTGTTTTGTTTATCTTGAAGACGCGGTAACAGTGGTGCAATGTGGTCCAAAAAGTTATCTTTTGAACCCGTAAACTAATTCTTGAAAATTTATATCAACTTTTTTTTTCACAGAAATTAATTTTTGTTTCAATTCACAGCGGATTCAATTGGTTTTGTCTTCTGAGAGTGTTGAAATTGGAGCAATATCTCGGATATTGAACCTGCATATTTTTCAGTTCATTTACGATTTTACTTCAAATGCTTTTTTTTATCGTGGAGATAAAAAGCTTGAATACAAGCTAAGCTGTTCAGCTCTTTGCGGGGAATTGCTGTTGTGCCCTGACCTGCATTCATATTTTGCTTATGTTTTTAGCTGAGTATATTTGCCGAGACTTTTTACTCATCCGCTTGGAAAAGCACTGATCATGGCTGCCCTCGAACCAGCTACCTTCGGCGTAGGTGCGGAGGACCAAGCTACTTCACCTGTCGCTGTCCTGCTTAACTATATTGATACTATAATTTCGAATACTATAAAAGCTTTTTTGAAATAGCGGGACCGTTTTCTTTAAGAAATACTTTCACGTGTGGTCAAGGAACATTTTCTATGTAGAATGATATTATTTGGCATTAGGTCAAAGTATTAGAGTTGCGAAAATAATACATGTTCTTTTTATTTTTATGTTGTACTGAACTTTTTTCTGTTGTAAGGATCAGTATTTGGGAGTGCTTATTATTTTTTCTGTTTTCTTTTCAGTGTTTTTTCCTACTCTGGAATTTTTTCCTCGCAAAATCAGGTTCCACAAATAAAAGCGATACATCATTCTTTCGTGATTCAATATTTTTAATTGAATCTAATGAATTCTTTTCGCAAATATAACTGTGACCACAACGTTATATGCTATTTGCCACTGTAATCGGCTACAGAGATTGTCGCATTTTTAAGATGAGGATATGAAACCTGAAAGGTGATTGTTTCACTGGTGGCGGAGAGAAAGAGAGAGTCCAGACTGAAACTGAAACATCAATGATAATGAAGAAAGGGCAGCAACAGTTGACAGATGAGAATCTGCGCCAGCCTCTGGACGAAGTGTTCGAACTGGGCCAGATCCTAGGCAAGGGCTCGTATGGATATGTGCACAAGGCCATACACAAGCAGTCTGGAAAGGCGTTTGCAATCAAACAGGTCCCAATTGAAGATGACCTGCAGAAAGTGGTCAAAGGTTAGTCGCAAGAATGTGTCTTTTCGATAAATTCAGTGGCAATTTTAGTTCGGTTGCCGTTTTTCTGTTTGAAACTGTAACTGTAAATTCATCTTCTCTGAACGAAACATATTACCCTATGATTTCTAGCTCACGTGTAAATTCATAGTTGCTGAGCGTTTATTTTGTGCGAAAAATGTGAAAAAATGTCACCGTGAAAAGTCATCCATATTCTGAAGGTTTTAAAAAATTTGAAAATTGTAAGTTTAAGTAATTCTTATCTTTTTGTGAAACGAAACTGGATTTTTTTCACCCAGTATTTAAAATTGGACGGAAGTTATTTCATGTTACTTTTTTTTATTTGATTTAAGATAGCTTGTGATTGACTTGTGATTGTGTTAGAAATAAACATCATGCAGCAATGCAACTCAGACTTCATAGTCAAGTACACGGGAAGTTACTTCAAAGACAGCGATCTCTGGATTGTGATGGAGCTGTGTTCCGGCGGGTCTGTCATCGATCTCATCCGACACAGGAATCTGCCCCTGGACGAATCTGAACTGTCGGCTGTGCTGAAGGATACTCTTAGAGGAATGAGGTATCTGCACGCAAGTCGCAAAGTGCACCGAGATGTGAAAGGGGGAAATGTTTTACTATGTGAAGACGGTGAGTCTTTTTTTATAGGTTTTTCTAGGTTATTTCATGCAATTTTTCAATTGAGGCAAACGAGCAAAAGGGATACCATTTATGTCATTTGAAATTGTAGTCTATATTTTTCAAATGGTTTGGAACTATGAAAGACGAATATGAAATACGAGAGAATGAGAAATATATTTGAGCAGTTAACTTTCATGGTGAACGAAGTGATAGCATCGATTTCGTTTGTGCTGTCTCCATTTGCTGTTGAGTGCGATTGGAAATGTTGTTCGCCGTTTCAGGTATGGCCAAGCTAGCCGACTTTGGAGTTTCCGGGCAGTTGTCAGACTCGTGTGTGAAACGAAACACCTTCATTGGCACTCCGTTTTGGATGGCGCCCGAAATCATCCAATCACAGGGCTACGACTGCATGGCTGACATTTGGAGTCTGGGAATCACCATAATAGAGTTAGCCGAAGGAAGACCCCCCTATTCAGACATACACCCCATGCGTGCTATATTTATGATATCATCCAACGATCCCCCCACGTTAACCGACGAATCAAAGTGGTCCGACGACTTTGTAGACTTTTTATCGCATTGTCTCGTCAAGCAGCCGGACAAAAGAGCAACGGCCGACAAGCTTCTTAAGCACAACTTTATCAAAAATGCAGCCTCAAGAGATCTAATTGCGACTGCAATTGTTGACGCTCAAGAGAAGCGCCAGCAGCTAGCGATTAAAAGAAATAGAGAGAATAAAATTCTAAATTCAGCTTTACAAAATGGGTCAGACAGTGTGGATTTTGGCGCAGAGGATGATAGTTACAGTACTGCTAAAACGTTTCATTCGTACGACACTTCAGGCGGGACCTTTATGGCGAAAGGTGACGACCAGGAAAGCTACCCCGCTGGAACTTCCGGAACACTGGTCTGCAATGAGACGATAAAGTCTGGGTCTTTTCTCGTCAACGGAAGTAATCAACGTGTTAGCAATGGTACTGCAGGAAATGAAACTTTGAACGAAGCGTTTGAAACGATGGTTATCAACGATGAAGACAATGCAGACGATGGCAGTCAAGGTTCAGGCGAAGATGGAACGATGAGAAGGTTGAGTGAGACCAGGAGTAATCGCGGATCCCACACATCCTCAAAAGAAGTTCCCTTCTTTTTGCAGCATTTCGAACAAAAGGCAGCTCAGGGAGTCGATCTCAGTAGCTCAGAAACGAGCACAAATAATATCAGAAACAAACAACAAAAAAATCAAGTGGCTTATCAACCTCCGGGTTACCATCCTGGTCCAGGAAACAACGAGTACCCCTCAATATCAACCGGGGTTTTCGATCATCAGGGTCATTTGGTCAGACCCTTTGACGACGAAACGAATTTCGAGTTCCTAGAAGATTCCAATCTGGCTGAATTGAGACAAAAAATGGCAGAAGTGGATGTGTGTTTGAACCAGGAGCTGGAAGCACTGAAAAGAAGATACGAGACAAAGCGGCTGCCGATTGTAGATGCTATCAAAAGCAAACGAGCTTCAGTTGGTTTCTTTTGACAAATGAACTGAATCGGACTAGATAATTATTGTAGTTTTCGAGGGTATCTGATGCCACGATTAGAACTTCTATTGCTATTTCTCACTTTGTCCATTTTATCAATCTCTATTTTTGTAGACAGCAAACGTTTATACTCTTCAATTGAATATTTCGATAAGTTAAACGACGAAGGCGAGACATTTTATGAGGAAGCTCATAAATCAGCAAGATGAATAGGCGAGGACCTCAGAGATGTTTCTCTACTAAAATATGAGAGAAGAGTAAAAAAAATTGAGATAATCAATTTTCCCAAGAAGATTACGTTTTTCTACAAAAAATTAAGGAGTCCCGGTTTCTTCAGAACAATTATTGCAACAACTTTCCAATTGAGTTATTCATCTCAGATTAGATTGTTAATTTGAAAAAAAATTAAAAAACATTTTTTTCCAAAAACCGTAATTTTTTGTGCAAAAAGCAGGTTGCGTTTATCGATTGAGCACAACCTGTGAATTGGCACGGTAGTTATCACGTAAAGTCAACAAGTTTCCAAAAATTAGTCTAAAGTTTTAAAACTCGGACTTGTTTTAAGGTCTTAATTTTTTTTTCTTAAGCAAGCTGCAAACTGGCCATAGTCAAATAGAAAGGTAAGCTTTCAACAACCTGTTTTGATTAAATTTTTGATATCAGATTCGACAGAAAAGCTAGCGAGAAAAGTCCAGAAAACGGTCAATAAATCATTAATTTGATATTTGCGAGGGCCACAACTTTCGGTGTCCGAAAAACTTAGGCGCAGTCGCATAGACAAACTAGCTTTCTGTAACCCGTTCTTTGAATAGAACCAAAATCTCAGATATGGTAGAGTAGTTTTCGAAAATATTCAAAAATTTGAACTCAAAAAAATCAAATATTTGAATTTTCCGAGGCCGATAATTTTTTGTGTGATAAACTTTGTGAGTGGCCGCTATTTCAGGGGAGCATCTAGTTATTTCCATTTAACCTACAATATCAGATTTGAGAGGGTTTTTGAGAAAAGTCAACAAGAATAACAAAATGACTAATAATCAAAAAGTTGACTATTCCGAAGGCCATTATTTCATGGAAAGAAATTGGACGTAACTGCTTATACAAGGAGCTTTTCAAAACCGTTTTATTCATTGAAAACAGAAGCTGAGATTCGAGAAATCAAAAAATGAGTCAAACATTCCCCGATACACTTGTTCGAAGGCTGTAGACAGAGAGGTCAATTCAAAAGAGACTATAGAAGAGTATGCAGGCACACAGGGGTGTAAGCGCTCTCTCAATCGATACCCCCTTGGTATACACATAAGTGGTATTCAAGTTGTGCTTGGTGTGCAGAATCTGGAAAGACTTGAAAATTTACTAATTCAAGAATTGCGTTTTCCTTGTTAATATTTTTAAACGTAGTTAATTTTTACAATTCACCTGACCTGTTTGAGCTGAGACTGAAGGTGTTGATGGAATTGATACAGTTTCTGGTATTGATAAAGCGGTATCCGATGAAATGTCTATTGGGTCATTTACTAAGTTGGATTCACCTTGAGGAAATATTTGTGTCATCCAATGTGGAATTCTTTGTGATGAAGTAGGGGTATTAAAGGGATTTTCACGAATTTGCTCAGAAGTGGGTGTTGAGCCTAAATAATCTGATGAATTACTTGGAGTATGTTTTTGGGAAATCGTTCGAAGTGATGGAAGTTTGCTTTGCTTTGTATTACTAGAAAGATCTAAAAAGGGTCGATGATGGTGATGAGGGTATATTAAAATGAACTCTTGCTGTTGTTAAATTTCGATATCGTCGTGGGTGAATTAATTGTCTGTCTATTGTAGTTGTCAAATTTCGGCTTTGGCTTAAGTGTCTGGTTCTGTTATGGTCTACTTGATGTGAGGAGTAAATGTTACATGTTGGTTCGTAGTGTGGTTCACTTAGGGGTGCATGAAGAAGGGCTGTTGTTAATGGTTCGGATAGTGATGCTAGTCTTTCTTAAAATGTGTAAGTGTTCTCTACAAAGAAGATACGTGAAGGTGATTGGGGTTGATTTGTTTGGCTAGATGTTGGTGTTGTCGGGGTCTTGGGATGTGGTGGTTTGGGGAATCTTTAATGGGGCGTGGATTAGCAATTTTGAATTATATCGTACATGCTTTATTTACTGAAGTTCTTTATAGTATTCTTCTGCAAAAATAATTAGCAAAACCGTTGCTAATGCAAAGGCTATTTTTGTCTTATGTATTTAAGAAGTGTTAAGTTTAGAGAAATGAGAAAAGTGAGGAAAATTATGAAAAGAATAAATTTTTTTTCAATTTAGTAAACTCCGTATCATTTACGAAATACCAAGTTTAGTACCTGTTTAGGTGTTCAATGATTTCTGCGGAGAAAAGTAGGTTTGTATGAGGATTTTGTCGATTTTTTTTTGATTTTTGAGTGGGTTGGATATGAAGAGTTTTTGGTGAAAGAAAGTCTTGGTCTTTAGGTGTTAACTTTCTAAGTCTTGTTTTTATTTTTGGGATGATGAGGGCTTTTGGGAGGTAAAATGATCATGTTGACTTTTGTCTTTAGTTTAATTAAAACCTTCCTTTGAAGAAGTGCGGAGATAAGTTGAGACAATATTGTTGTTTTTTGTGTTGATTGATAGAAGAGGGTTGGAACTTTTGTATGATATTATTAAGTTGTCAAATAGAAGAGTAGTTCTTAGTTTTGATCTGGAGGTCTTTGAGTTAAAGTTTCAGATCTAGTTTATGTTATAGATCGGCTAATAATAGTGGTGGTGTTTAGAGAGAAATGAGATGATGTCAAACCGTTTTGATTGGCTGAGTTTGAACTAGTTGTTTCGAGAGAGAAATTAAAAGTTATAATTAAAAACAATTTAAAGGTTTTTTTGAAAATGTTAATAATGATGTCTAGTTAATCAGAGGCTTTCTGAAATTCCACGTCCTTTTATAAATTATATTTTGGAATAAAAGTTGTCTTATCTCCTGTGGGTTGATTTCTGATGCGAGATGATTGGCGTTGTTGTGATTTTTCTTTGATTTCTGGTATCAGGATTTTTTCTTGTAGTTTACAATTAAGTCGTCGTTGTTTTCGAACTAATTGTTTTCGGGGTTTTTCTGATAGTTATTTTTGGGTTATATCCGATGATTGTGGTAGATGATCGAAGTTTGTTGTTTTCTATTGTTCGTTATTTTCTGTAATTTTGTCAACGATGTGTAGTCCTGTGAAGGAATATAATTGTGTTAATTTGCGAAGGGCGTTTTCGCTCGGGTAGTATGGTAAAAGATTATTTCGATGTTGTGCAATTTCTTTTTTTTTGTGGTGATCTATAAATTTATATTTGACGTCTGTAGGTTTTTCTATAAATTTAAAAGGTCCTCCTTTTTAGATAGGTTGTAGCTTCTTGAGAATTTTTTTGAACAATGTAATTTGGGATTAAAACAAATGCTTGCATATAATTTTCATTCAGATCAATTTTTTGTCAAAAAATTTGGTCTCTGAAAAATCCGTTTTTTATCTCTCATAAAAGGGTTTGTCGCGGATTCCTCATAATTGCTATTTTTCTTTGATCATCTTTGCTGTTTTGGATTCCTCAAACAATTAGCTAGAACACTGGATCGCTGAAAATTGCTCCAAAAACTGGCAATTTTGCGTAATTTGCATCAGAGTCTGCGAATCTGCAACAAAGTTTGCGGAATGGGGAACAATTTCAAAAATTCATGAATATATAGTAGTATTCGTGTGTAGTACAAATACGCTGTCGCGGAATCCGCAATTTTAAGTGGGAAAACCGCAAAATGCAAGCGATAACTGCAAAATGCGGACAACCTGCTATTTTTGCTCGCTGCGGATTCCGCGACAACTTTTGTGCCGACAAAACGTACATTACACGTAATTACATAAAGCTGTCCCTGGATTCCAGTGAACTGCCGACACTAAATTGTGCGCGTATCCAATGCAAAGTTTGTCCTCGTAATGAACGTTCGACTCCATGAACGTTTCACTACTCCCTCCCACAACGTTTCATTAAACCCCTACCCCAACGTCTCATCCCCGATAATCCCCTCCCCAAATAACTTTGACCCCCCTCTACCCGCACACCTACCCATCAAAGTCTGCAGTTTGGGGGTAATTGTACCTAGTAACCCGTATCGACAAATTCGTTAAATCTGACGACAAATACTTAACCTTTAATCTAAATATCTGGCCAGAAATTCTTTTGGAAATGTTTAAATAAAGAAGAATTTTCTTATATTTTTTTCTCATATTGTTTCATATCAGAAGTTAGCTACATCTGGGTTACTTTTACCACAAAAAATTCTCATGGTAGGGCATTCTGTCCCCATGAAAAAATCTTTAAAACCGATTTTCAACTTTCAATCTCTTCTTGGGCGAATATAAAGCAAGAAGTTCTTAGCTACGCTATTAAGTGTTTTCCTTGTTCAGCTGTGAAAATCAGGAAAGTTGAACTTGAAATTTTTGTGAAAATCAATCTGAACTCTAATAATTAGAAAAAAGTTGAATACATTTTTTAAACAACTCAAATTATCATATTTTATTGCAAAAACTTTAGGCTAAAGCAAATTTTGATCATCTATAGCAAACAAAAATGCCTACCTTACAAACCTTCTATATATAGTTGCACACGCTAACAATTTTTAGCACCCAAGAACGTCAGCGAAATGCTTTTGATTGCAACAAAAATAGCCAGTGTTGTTCAATCGGTACAGAAGAGACTTCCGGACCAACCGAGCCAACTAATTGGTATCTCAAATTCCATAACCCGGGTCGAGATCCCGCTCAAAAACCGCTCAAGATATGAGCGGTTTGAGCGGTTTTTCAGCAAGATTTGAGCGGTTTGGGCGTTTTTTTTTGGAAAAACCGCTCAAACCGCTCAAATCTTGCTTAAAAACCGCTCATTTCTTGCGGTGATTTTTGAACGGTTTTTCAAGCAAGATTTGAGCGGTTTTTGAGCGGTCTTATAAAAAAACCGATTAAAACCAACAAAAAGGCCTGGAAAGGTAATGTGACCCCGGGTTGACATCCATAAACCGAAAATGCTAAATTTAAATTTCCCCACACCGAAAAAGCTTATCATACAATTGCCTGCATCAAATGTATGGAAAAATGCTAATCATACAATTTTCATACAATTTCAAAAAACCATTGAAAAAAGA